CTTGCAGTAGAAACATTCAGAATCGGATTGAGAAGAGGCTACCTTCTTTTCCTTGTTGCCCTTGGTAGCTTTTGACTTAGGCAAAAAGGTCTTCTTACCCTTCTCCTTAAAGCCTTTCTTCTTGCCCGAGCGCTTGAATGGCTTGCCTTTCTTGACCATAAGCATATCATGCTTCCCCTCATCCTTGAGCATTTGCTCGGCTTGCTTCAACATTCCATGAAGCTTGATGAGGGTTTTCTCCATGCTGTGCATATTATAGTTCATTTTAAACTGATCATAGCCTTTGTGCAGCGAGTGGAGAATAATCTCAATTGCCATCTCTGTTGAATACCCAGCATCAAGCCTTTCCATGTTCTTAAATAATCCAATCATTTTTAAGTACATGTGGGCTAACTGGCTCTCCTTTTTTGAGCTTGCTCTCAAGGATCTGTCTATGGGTCTCAAACCGCTCAGTTCGGGCCTGCTCTTGGAACATGTTCTGAAGTTCAGAAATGATCTCAAAAGTCGTCTCCTTTCTAAAGGTCTTTTGGAGATCCGGAGACATTGTGGCCAACATGATGCATTTGCCATCCCAATTAGCAGTGTGCCATCGATTTAGGGCAGCCTGAGTGACCTCCTCACTAGGAGCGTCGGGAATTTCCTCATCAAGGGCGTATTCCTTTTGCTCCTGCATGAGAACTATATGTAAGTTACTTTGCCAATCAAGGAAGTTTGTCCCACTCAACTTATCTTTATCGAGAATTGAGCGTAACGAAAATTGGTTGTTGTTGGTGTTAGTTGCAGACACGTTTCTACAATTAAAAGAATTTGAAATGAAAAACCGTTCATAAATAAGCTTGAAATTTAAAGCATTCATCCAAATTTTCAATCTTATTAGGCATTTTATCCACACAATAAAATTTATCCCTTTTAGACGAGAATAAAACGATTTCAAGACCCAAAAAGTGATTAAGCATGCTTTGGCTTGTCTTAGCACTTAATATTTTAAGGTAAACAATCCAATGGCTAATAGCTCTAAGCTACTCTTGGTTCGATAAAACGTCGCATCTAATGCTTCCTTGATGTTTATCTCCATTGCCACGACATCAAAGAACTCTTTACTGATATCGTTGAGTTTAACCAACTAACGTGTATATGATAACTTGCTTTGGCAAGCGCACCAACATACCTTACTTCCCTAGGAAAATAGTTATGCCTTGCTTTGGCATAGCTCATTACTATTCTCATTAGTTTCGTAAGTGTCATTTTGGAATGGCAGATTTACCTCAATATTCTTTGGGACTTAGGGTTTCTATGTTGGTTGATTTAAGTGAACTAAACTAATCATTCAACATTCGAAATCCTAAACATGCATCTAACATAGCAATCATATATAAGCACAATTATATAAAACATAAGTAAAGATGCATTTAGCAACTAGCATGACCCCTTGAAACTTGAATCTTCAAATCTTCAAGGGCCTTCATTGCATTTTCTTGGCTTCGTCTTCTTAGAAAAGCCGTCTTCGAGACATGACCACTAATTATGCAACTACTTACAAGACTAGGACTAATCTAAACTTTGAGTTACAAAAATACTCAACGGAACGCAGTCTGTATTTAGATTTACAAAAATACATAACGGAACGCAATCCGTATTTACTATCCTAGTCGGGCCCCACTAGTTGCCAGTTTGTAAAAACTTGTGATAAAATATCTATTCCATTCATCCATTCATAATCGTGAATGGCCCATGCATTTTACAAAATAAATCAAGTAACAATGCAAAACACGCGCAAACTAGTAACTAACTTAGGTGGTTAATCCAATTAACTTGCCTAACTAAAACTAGTCAAAGTTGTTATCCGATTATGTGAATTAACGCAATAATAATGGCTCAAACAATTAATGAAGCTCCCACTAAATTCTACATCCAACTTAATTAAAATTAATCCAATTAAAATAAATTAAGCGGGGTAACCCAAAATTTTGTCAAATTATTTTGCAAGTGCTGGGAAAAACCGAGGCCTAACCTCGTTTTAATTAAATAAATAAATAAAAATAAAAATAACGCAAAATTGCAAAATTAATAGCCAAACGACGGCCGAGTGCCTGGCACCAAGCCAAGAGGCTCGGTTGCTAGGCACCAAGCCCGGCTGCCATGCGGGGGTGCTGCCCCGCACAGCCACCTGCTAGTGGCTGACAGCATCGCTCGCGCGTTATGTTGGCCATAGCAGCGTGCTTGCAACGCACGCTAGTGCTGGCCGCGCAGGCCAAGATGTTGTGCAGGCTGGTGCTGCCTAGCAGCTGCACACCGTACCACACGCAAGGCCATGCCGCACCAAGGGGTGCCTGCTTCCACACTCCAGTGCACAAGCACGGCACATACTCTCGGCAGCCACATGCGGCTGCGCAAGCAGCCTAGCAGGCCAAGAGTTTATGCTCGAGGCTTGATGCCTCGTTTTGCGTGCTTATGCCTCGAATTTTGTTCCAATTTTGTGTGACATGAAAAATTAATTCTAAATTATTTTTAGAACTAATATTGAGCAAAAATAAAAATAAAACAAGTCCAACTTAAATAATTTCAATTTTAGTGCACAAACCAAAATTAATTCAAGAACCATTCTTCTAATTATTTTTTGCTCAACTTGATGCTACAAAATTGGGGATTATTCTCACAATTAATTTAATCAACATAAATTAATAATGAGATTTGACAAAATATAGTTCAATAAATAAACACAATCATTCAATGAAAAATTTATTCAATACTAACTTGTGTAAATTTTGAATATTGTGATCTTCCAATATGAAGAACAATAATAATCCAAGCACAAGTTTGAACATTTAAGATTTTAATCAACTCAAAAATGATTAAGACCAAAATTAGTTCATTATGGAATTTAGAAAGTTAAGATCCAACCAAATAAACAATTAAAGATTGAATCTTTACCATTTTAAGGGCTTCAAAAATACATTTTGCATCATAAACAACTCCAAGCAATTATTTTGCAAAAATGTGAAATTGCAAGTTTATGTGAAAAATGAGCTCACCAAATTAAGCACCAATTACAACTTCATAAACATGCTTAATAAGGGTTATAATTGCAGTAGATTATTGGTATAATCAAACACATAATCCAACAATTGCATGCCATAATTAATCAAGGTTTAAAGATTTAAAAATTTCCGCAAAAACGAAAAACCCCTCAAAAAACATGTTTCTTGGTGGATTTTGGCCTCTGGAACGTTTTTTTTAATCACTTTGTGGGTAAAGAACGATGTAGAACGTTGATTCTATCCAAAATTCACTATTTTTAGGTCCAAATCAGGGTTCTTTAGCCAAAATTAGCATAAATACGAGATCGAACTAATTAAAAACGAGATTCTAATCTAATTAGAAAGCAAAACCAGAAATCTAAATCCATTTAAATCACCTTAATTAATTATTAGTCACAATAATTAAATGTACGCGGCTCCGATACCACTGTTGGGTTTCGTAGTGTCCAACATTACGCGGAAGGAATCCCGCCCAAAGATCCATGCATAAATTAAATCAACTAAACATGCATGCTAATAAATAATTAATTAAACACATAATTAATTAACAACAATAGAGAGAGAGAGAGAGAGAGGAAAAGACGATCATACCCTTGTTGCGTGTTTTCAACTAAGCACGAACATGAACTCATGAACGGAGAAAGAGCCTCAAATGCGACCCCTCCAACGTAGTCCACCCGCGCGTTCAAACTTGGCTCATATTACCGGCTAGGGTAATATTAACACTACTAAACAAGAGGATCTCTTTATAAGATTTTCTCAATGGAGATGCATTTTATAGATTTCAACTCTTGCAACAATTTCCAAGGGAGACCTTGGGTATTTATAGGAGAAGCATCTATCTCTTTAATTTCCAATCAATGTGGGACTTTGCAAAGTTGAGAAATAAATATTTTTAACTTAATTCTAAAATAAATTAAAATGCAAACAACAAATAATCAAACAACAAATGGCAATCATATGGGAGAGGTTAGGTAAGGACCACAAGGGAGAGCCACATGGCCTCCTTGTTCCCCAAGTCACCAAACCCACCAATCACTATAGCCCATGACCAGTGAACACCTTTGGGCACCAAGGTATGGCCGGTCAAGGCTATTTGACTTGGCTTGGGCTTGCTAGCCATACCGCAAGCCCACTCGGCTGGGCTGCTCTTGTGCGCTGCTCGGCATGGGCCTGCCATCACGCACCGCAAGCCCACACGTGCTGATGTGCATTGCTCGGCTGCCATGTCGGGATTGCTAGCAGGCCTCACTAGCCACGGCTTGTTGCGATCCTGTTGGCGTGCCGTGCCAGCAGGCCTGCTGCGAGCTGCTAGCATGCGGGCTTGCTAGCCACGCCATGCTACTGCTCGCTGCTGCTGCTCTCGCAAGCACCAGCAGCCCGTATGCTGGTGCTTGCGAATTGCTTGCGACAGCATGTGCTAGCCTAGCCCTCGTACGGCTAAGCCAATACGAGGTTAGGGCTATGCACTTTGACTTTATAATTCGTTGTTTGACTTATTTGTATGTCTCGTTGATTCTTAGAATTTAACTCGACGTTCGGGTTCGACGCTCCAAGCTCGGAATCCGACGTTGGAATACGTATCCTCTAGTTTGACGTATTAATACCTTCAGCTTAATTCGTCACCTTAGTTTGGTTGCACGCTTGGGTGTGACCCATTGGGTTTAGTATAAGGAAAGTTGTGAGATTAATATAATCAATCTCACTGATCGGAGATGGCCTCTAGCCCGACTTTTCGATCACTTGATTTCACTGAATAATAACTCCGTAATTAATTCTAAACCCTCGATCGGAATAATACACTTGTTTGAAGGACACTAATCCTTTCAAAGTTACAGTTAGAAACTAAAGCGCAAGTAGAAACCATAATTGGACAATGATCAGAATATGTTTTTGGGAGATGATATACCTAAACTGGGGGTGTGATAGAGCCAACTAATCAAGGCACCAATACTCCAATAGTGCTATGAAAAGATTTATGACTAATGAAGAGGATGACAATACATCTGACCTATTATTTAGGCAGTTCCAATGTGTAACATACTAACATCTCTTAACCTGTAATGTAACCTCAATTACCTATTACAAGAATCATTTTTGGAATTCAAGGACGGCGAAGAAGTAGTCAATGTGTACTGCCCTGAAATGTGGAAAACCTGCAGCGATTCCGAGCTGTCGGTACTCTTCCTCCATCCGGTGCCTGCCTTTAGCTCCATAGATTGTCATGACAAATATGTCTCCGGAAAGAAGGGCTCGTGTCCGATGACTGTCATCTGAGGTATCAGGTAACACTGGTTCACAGGCAATCAATTTCCCTCCTGCAGGAAGAGCCTCGTAACAGTTTTTCATGATCAGCTTGATTTCGTCGTCACTCCATGTTGTTAGTACCCACTGCACAACATTATACCATATTCATATTCCAGGCCAAGTTTGATCCAAATTAGGAGTATCTTGCTTAAAGCAGTTATATCATGCCGAAACAAGGATCATATATGTGCATTCTGGTGCATCTATTGCTTAAAGCAGGTTATATCATGCCGAAACAAGGGTCATATATGTACATTTATTTAAGGGAGAAGACAAAACTATCAATTGAGTTACAGAGTAGGTGAGTTTGTACAAACACTAAAATTCAGAAACCAAATCATACAACAGAAATTTGGTGCCTTTTCATGGAATAAGCTAAATTAGAAATGTAAGAACAGTCACATAAGTTAATCACCGCTAAAAGTACAATATTTAATACAGATTTGTGGTTCTCATTCCTACATCATGAACTCACTACTACTACCATCAAAACAAGCAGCCGCGAAGATAAGATATTAAAAGGCAACAATTCCAACCAAAACATGTGATACTTGGCAAGATTTTCATTTTTCTGGTCTCTTTTTGTCAGATACTAAAGTGTAAGATTTAAAAAATGCAGGCAGTGTAAGTTTAAGCATCTAGTTCACCAACGTTGTTGTCAAACAAACTGGTTACACACTTACACTACACGTTCTGTCAAATCGAATATCCTATGTTGATTGCAAACGATAAGCTCAAAGTACATAACATCACTACCCCAAACAGCCGAAAGATTCAACATATGCTATGGTTGAACTTACTCAAAGGTTAAAGAGCAAAGAGCATTATAGCCAGAGCAGAAATATAGCAAATGGCATCATCCTCACAGAACTAGACTCGTTTATAAGGAATTCCTTCTACCATGGACACGTTGCCGAAACTCCATAATGTCTATGATAAATCAAGAGTAAAAGAATTATCCTACATTTAGACACCATACATCATACAGTAGTGGTAATAAGTTTTGAACAGATGAACATAAACAATACACCCTATAGATAAGTAGTCCCCAAGACCCCAATAATAGTAGTAGCTTGTCTTTTTATCAAATTGTCATACACATACACCTCACCAATATGCATATAAGTCTATTTTCAACAATAAATGTTGCAAGGACCATGTAATAGAGGTAGACAATTCATGTGAACAAATTTGTGTAGATGTAGAAAATTATACAATACAGATATTACTAGTCTGTAAAAGAAGGTTGAAGAAGACAATTGATACCTTCATGAAGATTGCATCACCCAAAGGAATCGACTTGAACATGTCTCCGCCTACATGAGTCACACCTACAACTCACAAGTAACAATTATCACTTCTTTCGTCGCTTCAATATAGTAACAAACACCATCATAATAAGGTATAACTATAATGTATAATCTCTTCTTAACACTGCACTATGACACTAAATTTTACTTTCAATTTTTATGATCAGTAAACCCGAAAGCGAACTAAATGATTCTGCCATCTGATTAAGACTCAAACGACTCCTTCAACATACATTTATCAACCAAGATTAAGACTTATTATCAATATTTTTTTTTTCTATGAATTCAAAGAATAAAAATTAGAGAACTAACCTGGGATTTGAGGAGCTTGAGCAACAACCTCAGGAAGTTCAAAGTTAATCCCTTCCTTAATACAACTATACTTACTCATAATCATCTTCAAACAATCACCAGCACTCCCACCTACATCCACCAATCTCACCACCCCATCAAACCCATCATACCCACCACCAACCACCGCCTTCATAAACGGTACCGACACCCCAGCCATTGCCCGTTGCATCAGCTCATTCATCTCATCATTCCTCCCGTAGTAATCATACGCCGGCTCCCCATTCGCAACCTCGAACGGGGTCTTCGACGTTGGCCCCACCACCGCATGATCCACCAACGTCCACGCCCGCACCAACGCATCTTGGTGGTGCTGCAGCACGTACTCCCCGTACGACAACCCATCACCGCCGCCGCCGGCGACCAAAGTCTGGCTGACGTCAGTCAAAGAATATCTCCGGCGACCATCGCCGGCGAGTGATGGGTGCTCGGAAAACACGCCGTAGGTGGTGAGAAGGCGGAGGAGGCGGCCGAGGTTATCGGCATCGGCGTGGGGGTTGTTGGGGAGGATAAGGGGGATGATCTCGGCGGCGGTGAGAGGGGTGTTGGCGCCGGATGACCAGATGGCGGCGGGTACTTTGAGGCGTACGACGGCGTTTAATGCCATGGGTATGCTTATCATGTTAGCTAGCTCCATGATTTTTAGTCTTGCTTCGTTTCGAGCCTCGGATGTTTCATCGATTTCCGGCTGCGCTGCGGTGGTTGTGGATTTTTCAGGCGACATTATCTGTTTTGTTAACTACTCCGTATGATTTGAAGCAATATATAGCATTTGAAATGGTAATAATTCCAAATAGAAACTATTTTATTTAATTGCAACTAAATAACGTTACCTGCTTCCCATTTTCTCCACTAACTATCTTTATATATTCGATTATTCGCTATCTTAAAAAATCCATACTAATCTATGACTTACTATAGACAATAATAAAACCACGAACTTAAGAAAATCAAACAATTATTCAAATCAATAATCTATTTGTAACATGAATATCAGAATATGCCACCCTTTGTCTATATAGGTGCACGAGTGAATATGCCACCGTAATAATAACACATATAATAACGTAAAAAATTCAAAGAGTGTATCCTCCGTATGTAACCACCCTTTATAACATCTATTTTTATTATTTAATATCTATATAGGAAAGAAATATTACACAATACTGTAAAAGATTTTCCTTAAAAAAAAAATATTAGAAAAGCTTTAGTGTATCCTTCCAAATATATATTGATACCATAAACAAGAATATTCTAATATCTTATTCTAAATTATTACGTAAAATATTATGCAAAAAAAAATGTAATTTCATATTTAATTAGTAAAGTCTAGCATAGTAATAATGGTAAATGGTCAGAGCATAATTTTGTTAGTAATATTATGGTAACATATCACCCGTGCATAAATATACTCCCTTAATTAGTAAACTATTATGCCACTTATTATGGTAAACTATTTCCTTATTTCTGTTAAAAGTTTACTTCCTTAGTTCTGTTAGTAATATTATGTTAACATAGGACCTGTGCTGCCTTGCATATATATATACTTCCTTAATTACTAATACCTTAATTAGTAAAATGCAATTTCATATCTTATTTGTAAAGTCTAGAAATATTATGGTAACATGATACGACCATCTTTTTTTTTTTTTTTTTTCAAAAGTGATACGAGCATCTATATACATAATGATTTACATAAATTAGTCAAATATAATATTTTTAATAAAGATGATGACTATATAATTAATTATGCAATCTTAGACTTAACAAAGATAAGAAAAATTGAATAAATTTAAGAAAAGTCAGTTAAATCATGCAATATTCTTTTTACCTTTTATTTTTATCTCAATTTTTCCAAAACATCTTACCTAACCATTATAAAAAGTATTAATCTAAATTTTTGAATCACAAACTTTAAACGATATTTCTTCTAATGGCACAAAATTATACACTTATACAAAATTTCAATCCGTCAAATGAAAATATTACTATACAAGCTAGGGTTATCTACTTATGGACTATTCCATCTTTTAATAATGCAAATGATGTACATTCTCTAGAGATGGTTCTATTAGATGAACAGGTATGTAGTATAATGTTTGTCATCATTTTTTTTTTTTTATATGTGTATATGTTGTGCTAGCATTTTATGGAGTTTCAATATTTATGTTTTTTTTATACTTCTTATTATTTTTTTTATATAAATTAGGGAGGAAAGATCCAGGCTTCCGTAAAAAACTCCTTGCTTGTGATATTTCAAACTATTCTAGCGGAGGGACAAGTTTATAATATTTCAAAATTTGGAGTTGGAATTAATAATGGATCATATAAACCGACAAGACATGCGTACAAAATTATTCTTAAACACTTAACTACAGTCAATCAGGTGGAAGGAACAAGCATTCCCATTTGTGGTTTTGATTTGAAACCTTACGATTCAATAGTTTCAAACAAGCTGGACACCAATATTAAGTTATTTTAAATAATTTATGTTCGTCTTACTTTATTTTTACACATATTTGATTATTTTTTTTTAATCATGAAAATAGATTATATTGGATAACTATATACTAAAAGATATACCAGCAATGACACGTGCCATTTTCTGGTGAGTCCAAAAAAAAAATTAGGAAACAAATTTTATATACAAATTGAAGATTAAAAATATTTAATGTATCCTTGCACTATATATATTGATACCATAAGTTAAAGTTAAAAAAATAAAAATCAACTTCTTAACATAATTTGTGACATACATAGTGCTATATACTACTCTTACCATTTTTACAACAAGGATTATTTTTTGTAAAAAATATTTGTATATTTAATTATGTTTGAAAAGTTTGCTAGGAAAGATATGAATTTTTTTCTAAGCCAGTTGATTATTGAGAAGAAAAATAAATACCGCGTAAGAGAGAGTGGATTAATAGTGTGTAAAACGTAAATCTATTTACGAATTAGATACATAGTTGTAAGATATTCATTTGGTTAAAAGAAGAAATGATATAAATTAGATAGTGAAATATATATAAATATCCATATATGTGTATTTTAAATTATCTATTTTGTTAATAATAGACTCTTTCATAATTAATTCATTTTACAAAGTAGTAACTTAAATATATTTTTTTTTATAATTAAGTATAAGGTTAATAATTATAGAGTAGTTATTGAAAATTACCGTGCATGGCGCGGGACCTAACCTAGTTAATAATTAAATAACAGTTAAATAAAAAGCAAAGGTAAAAAAAAAAAAAAAAAAAAAAAGCAATTTAATATTGTGGGTCTTTTTGTCGTAATTTGTCCTGAATTAATTGTTACTAAGTTAATCCCGTGCAATGCACGATTTAAATAATAACTTTTTTTTTTTTGCTTATTTGTGTGTGATACATATTTAAAAAAAATAATAAATCGTGTGATCATATTAAATAATCGAGCTAACAAAATATATGATGTTAAATACGGAGTATTATAATTATATATTATACTATATACTTCACAATTTAAATAAAATTTAAACTTAATTCTAAGATGTTAGCATTAATTTACTGGTTTATCTTTCATTAATTTTTGTTTGAAGAACTAATAAAGAGTGAAAATCCCAAAAACATACAATTCACTATAAATGTATAGAGTAGCTACAGAAGGAGATAAAAAGTTTCAAAAAAAATGAAATAATTCAGCCACTTATTTATATATTATATTTTTTAATCCACGAAAAAATGTGTAGTTAGTCAATTTAATCATAAAATATTTTAGAAAATATGCAATTAATCTACCAATTTCAAACCTTTATTTATCTTGAAAAAAAAATGATGTCACCAAAAGTCTTGGAGGGAAATTTTTGTATGAGAAGTTGACAAATGGACAGTGATAATGTCAACGATTATTACTTTAGCTATATTTATAGATAGATTGCTTACCGTGAAAATCAATCTCAAATCAGACATATAAATTAATTTATTACTAGTATTCCACTAGTAACAATATGATAAGAGTATTTTGTTCTTGCAAGAAGCAATTATATGTAATTGTTTTGAACAATACTTGAGATTATTGTCTCTATTTAAAATAATTCTTAATCTTGTGATGATATTATAATGTTGTCAATATTGATGGAAATCATGTAATGCAAAATCTTACGGTGATTATATGATCGATAGTCGTCTTTTAGGAGTGACTTATTGCTATTTTGAATGATAATTTTTTAATGTTTTCTAATTCTTAAAATCAATTAATAGGATGAATATATATATATTTATTTAATTATACCTATGAGTCCAATACTTCTTAAAAGAATATTTTTTATATTTAATTTTGATCAAAATAGTTTATTATAGAATTTAATAAGTTTCTGTAACAAGTTAAAAAAAATATTGAAAGGTGCTTAATTTTTTAGCATTATTAAGGAGAACAAAGAACTTACTTTTTTTAGTCAATTAGAAAATAGGTTTTTTTCTTTCTTTCTTTTTTTTTTTATATGTATATAATTAGAAACAGATAACTTAAATTATTTTAAGCATTATATTATCAAGGAGGAATTGTAAAGTTGTACCTTGTTACATTTGTAGAACTAACGACTACTTATTTTTAGATACTAGGGGCGGAGCTAGGATTTTTAATCTAGGGGGCCGACTGTTTAATCAATATATAAATATATAGCTTATTATTACAATATTTTTTTTTTCTAAATCGCAAATTTATGATTTTTCATATTAAAAAAAATTCAATAATAAATTACATGTTAAAATTGTTGGCAATCTATTTTCCCATGTATAAAACTGGTGTAAATCCACTTGTTGACTATCAACTACTCACTATAAATGCATAGAGCAGCAAAATGAAATAGTCCGGCCACCAATTTTTATATTATTTTTAATCCACGGAAAAATGTGTAGTTAGTCAATTCAATCATAAAATATTTTAGGAAATATGCAATTAATCTACCAATTTTAAACCTTTATTTATCCTGGAAAAAAAAATGATGTCACCAAAAGTTTTGGAGGGAAATTTTTGTATGAGAAGTTGATACTTGGATAGTGATGAAGTTAGTGGTTATTACTTTAATTAAACTAGATGGAAGCCCGTGCGATGCACGGTTTTTTCATCTAAGATTTTTAATTATTTAATTTATTGTATTTAATAATTTCAGACAAAATTACAAAAGTTTAATATTTATTTTTTTTCTCTAATTTATAATGAATTTATTAAATATAAATAAATTGTAAATATGATATTTTTCCGTTATATAAAATCTTTAATGTGAAATGATAAATTTTTAATAAGTTAAATCCTAAATCATTATTCATTGTTTTACCATATCTTTTATTTCGATAGAATCACCAACTTCATCCACAACCAATTTACTACATCAATGGATAAAAATGTTAGCCAAACTGAAATTGATATAAATTAAATCTTTATATTTATATAAAATAAATCAATATATTTACCAATAAATGAAAAATTGTTGCGATATAAAATCAAATCTATGCATTGGAATTTTTTCATCATCTCCAAAAATAATCAAAGTCATCCATATATAAAGTATACAACATCTAATCGTATGTCACTACATAAACAAATAATCGTTAATTATCCTAAGTAAATACAATGTAACTAATAATTACATATATAAATTTAAACATAAGATTTTAAAAATTACCCGGACATTGATGACCTAAAACTAACACAAAATTACTAACACAAAATTCGCTTGATGGGGTTTTGCATTGATACGAAATTTTATTTATGTCGTATGATGTGTTAGATCTGCATGTAAAAAAATATTTAGTAAATAAAAAATAAACATAAAATCGTTAAGTATCCCAAATTAATACAATGTAAGTAATAATTAGAAATACAAATTTAAACATAAGATTTTAAAATTAAGCTAAAAATTACCCAGCCACTAATGACCAAAAATTAACACAAAATTCGCTTAATGGGTTTTTTTTATTGATACGAAATTTTGTTTGTGTCGTATGATGTGTCAATTTATAATGGTAGGTATCACAAATTTTAATTTAATTATAATTAACGAATAATCTGTATTTCTTATCATAAATACTATCAAAATTTATCTTTTAATGATAGGTATCAAAATTTATTATAAGCATTTATCATTAAAATATTTTTTAGTATATTTTTTTTGGATTTCTTATACTCGTAGTATTGAATTAATAAATTTATCTTTTCCTATATTTTTACTTTATTTTTTTCATTAAAATAATTTAATTCGTGGATTATAGTCTACGTGGCATTAAAATTTTAGATGTATCAAATCTAATTCGTTACTTTTATCTAGGTGGCGACATAATTTTTTAATTCAAAAATAAAATACAAATCTTTCTTCTTATTGGTCGAAATTAGTATATTTCTTACGTGGCGCTCCGAATGCTCTCCAAAATGCCTACTTTATTTATATATATATTAGATTTTTGCCAAATTTATTCATTCTTTATTCCCCCAATTCACAAAATTCTTTATTCTTAAACTTATCTCCAATCTTTATTCTGTTTTGCACACAATAAATTACCAGAATCAATTTAATCATTTTCCATTCAATTTCTTGTAATTCATGTTTTTGAATTTTGTAAAATAATCTTGCGAAATTCGTTGGGCCTTCGGTTTGTTGTGTCGTTGGGTAATTATTGTTCCAGATCTAGAAGTTGAAATTGGTGAATTGGTTCTAGTTGGTATACTGGCTTGGAGTCGAATATGGGTAATAGATTTTCTGGAATAACTCCAACAATGTCGTTATCCTCATTATAGTGTGGTAGTTAGATTTAGAAGTGGGACAATTACATTTGAGTTAGTATGGATACACTAGTTATTTAATAATGAACTGCTTTCATTTCATATTGGTCCTCCTCAACGACATATTATTAACTCATGTTGCAGGGGTCATGTTACATTAGAGTCTCCTAAAGAGTAGGAAACAACAACGACCTTTGTTGGTATATAGTTACATACCATTAACTTGGTCTATGGTATATATCATATTATCATTCAACTATATATACCACATTGAAGTATATATATATATACCAGCAAAGTTTTCCATGGTATATAATGATCTTTGTAGTACTACCAACACATTACAAAAATCTTACTAGGGTGAACTAACATTAGCACAATTGAACACAGTTGTCAAATACTGCTAATGGTTTTAGATTGTGGGTTAAGATCGAGAATAAAGGGGATTGCATCAATTTATGACATTGCTTTTGTAGTTGTCAATGAGGTGTATGATGAAAAAGAAATAGATTGTTGTCAATGAGGTGTAATTAGTAATAAGTATGATAGATTTTGGGAAAATACTACTTGCCACGATGTCAACCTAGTAGGACGTCGATGTATTTTCATATAAAAGCCAAAGGCCTTGTCGATCCTACATATGGAACCTCAACATCCTTATGACAAATATTTTGCATCCGCAACTGTTGTAATGTATGAACATGCATATAATAATAATAATAATAATTCCTTAATAGGAAAATATCATTTACTTTTTATGATAATATAGTTTACAAAAGTGTGCTATACCTATAGTCAAACTGCAAACCAATAGCCACTCTATTGGTATGTACCCAAGGTTTGATATACATACTAACAAAATCATTAGACTATATTATGGTATACCAACATGATCTGAAATAGCACCACCGAAATAGCAAAAGATAGTGCTTAAACGTAAAGTACTAGCATCACGTACTAGCAGCATCACCTACTACCATCATCACCTACACATGTTTTTTCAACCATAAAAATATTTACAAACTGGACTGTATTGAGGTAAATCATTTCCCTTGCCCTTTATCCCATGCCTCCATCAACTTATTAATCTCCTCCCGGCGTTCGTTGGACGAGCATAGTAGGTCACCCAAAACAGCAGGACTACTCTTCGAAATCACCAGAGCTCAAATCGCAAACAGGTGTTCGCAACCTTTAAATCGCCACCTTCGAATCGCAATTTTCGTCGACCTTTTACTCTATAAAACCCTTATGTTTTCTCTCTCCTCTAACAATCCTATTTTTTACTTTACAATTGCCTTTTCATTTACCCTTTTATTTTATTTATTAAAATTCATTTCTAACACCACCTAATAATGTGTAAGAGGGGGGGCCACTACTTTTCTCTTTCTCTTCAATTAACAAGAAAATTACCAATAAGACCTTCCCTTGAGTCCATAAGGACTAAAGGTACTATACCCTGAGAATTGCTCTTAAAAAGAAAGATTTTCGCTTGTGTAAGTATGTGAGATGTGGTAAGCAAAACAAAATGTTGGGCTTGTGTGTGTGAGATTGTCAATCAATAAATGTCACTGATTTAGAGTTGTTACAATTTATCCAAAATCCAAAAAAAAATACTCATAACTAACAGCTTAATTTCAAAGAGCTTAAAATACTTCTTCTGTCACACAATATTTGGAACATTAGAGCAGACACGTAATTTAAGAAAACTATAGATAGGTCCATTTAAAACATTTGTTTATTGTATAAAAAAATTTCTTTTTACATTTTATATTGCAAGAAAACAAGTGGGGGGTGGGGTAGTGAGGAGAGAGAAAATGTGGGATTTAATTGGGTTTTGAGGTTTGTATGGGGTGGGGTGGTAATATTCTATTGTTTTACAAAAATTTATGGGCTCAAAGAGAGTATAGGAAAAAAAAATTCATTAGTGGTGGTACCATTTCATATTTAATAACTTGTTAAAATGTCAAATATTATAAAACGGACGAAAATGGAAATTGTGTTAAGTATTTTGGGTCGGAAGGAGTAGTTAAGATGGTGCATTGGCAAACGTGATAATAAAAATGTATCAACTAAAAAAAAGGAGAAATCATATTATTTTTTTTGTTTAGAGAATCACAAAAGCGTGTAATGAGCACTGATTTTAGAGTCTCTAAGCTCTAACCACTACTCTTTACTCTCACGAATTTAAATATTGACAGAATGAAAATGTAGATTGTGGAAAGACATAGAGTGACCCACTAGTTTTGGACTTTTGGTGGCTGTCAATACTTAAAACTAGTTAAGAGTACAAATTTACAAGGGAAATTGTCATTGGTAGCCATCAAATTTTGCTAATTATCCTTGGTGGCCAAAAACTTTTTAAATTATCTAAATTAGCCATATAATATTGTAACTTTATTAATTATAACACTATGATCATTATTAGCCACTTTTAAGACTAATAAGTAACTATGGTTAACTTTTTTTTTAGGGATAACTATGGTTAACTTAAGTGTCATTAAGTAATACGATTACTATTAACACCCTTACTTATTACTTTCCCTCCAAATCATTTCCCCTTCTTTATATAACCCTAAATCAGAGAAAACCCATTAATCTTGCTTCTCCGCAATTCTTATACTCCTCCATTCTCGTAGTTCTTCAGTATTGAACCTCAACACTATTGGGTCATTCATTCTGCAACAAATACATCACAACAGGCAGGGGCGGAGCTAGAAGGGGAAGAGTGGGGACACTTGTCCCCCCATTTTCAAAAAAAAAATTAAAAAAAAAATTTTAAAAAAAAACAAAAAAAACGCAATTACAGAATGCTCTGTGCGACATTTGCAGCCAAACCCTAAGTCTTTCAATTTTTAATTTCTCTCTCTTCGATTCGCCCTCACCTCGCCAGAGTCGCCTGACGCTGTCCACCGTTCTCCGGCAGTTCGCAGCAGTGAGGCCAATGACGAGGTTCGACAGACGACAGCGCACAGCGGACAGCCTTCAATTCGTGTGAATCGTGTCTTCGTGAGTTCGTGTTTGCTGTTTGCAGCAGCAGCCCAGCAGCCCAGCACCGCGCCACCGCAACACAGCCAGCAGTTTGGACGTTTGGTGTTCAAGTGTAAAGTGTTTGCAGCAGCAGTTCGCAAGTCGGCAACTTCGCATTTACAGATTTACTGTAAGGAGTAAATCTGAATTTCAATGGAGGTATGATTAATTGATTATGTAATTATGTAAATCTGAATTAAGTGAATTTCATTACTTGTTTAAATGTTTAATTGTTTTATAATTTATATTTTTATTGTGAATTTGTCATTTGTGGCCTTGTGGGTATTGATTATTGATTTATATTTGTTTGATTGTTTGAATGTTTCCCCTGTTTGAGTGTTTGGCTGTTTTTGTGAAATGTGAATTTAAATTATTAATTATTGTAAATTATTGAAATGTGTAGTTGAATTAGAAATTTAAAATCTTAGGTTTTGTTATTATGTAATGATGTGAATTGTGGTCTTGTGGAAATTGATATATAATTTTCAATTTAACTAGGAAATATCAAAAGATTCACCAAATTCAAACAAATCCAAGGCAACTAAACAACCCGATCTTCGACAATTCTTGTTTAAAAGAACGAGACTCAATGAAAATGAGTCCAATAACTCACCTTCAGTTAGCTCCCCTCAAAGTCAAGAAAATAGTATGGAAATGGGTGGTTCAAGTAATAGTAATGTACCATTAGAGGAAGATTTGGTGTATGATGTTGAACTTCTTCCTCATGATCCGGGAAAAAGAATAAACATTATGGATTACCCCGCAAATGAACGAAATGCTGTTAGGAGGGGTTATATTCTTAAAAAACCTTGCCAACCAAAAACTCATGACTTCCCTACAAGACAAGTGTCTGGTTTGCGTCGCTTTAGTGTTCATTGGTTCAACAAATGGGATTGGCTTGAATATAGTATTGAAAAAGATGTTGCATTTTGTTTTGTATGTTACTTGTTCAAGAATGAAGTTGGTATTAAACCGGGGGGTGATGCATTTGTTGATGGAGGGTTTAGGGCATGGAATAAACCGGAAAGATTTGAGAAGCATGTTGGTGGAATTAAAAGTGCTCATAATCTTGCTTATGAGAAATATGTGAATTTAAGAGATGAAAAAAAGAAATCAATCTTGAATGTGATTGACAATGCAAGTGATGTGATTAAAAGTGAATATTTTATCCGCTTGAAAGCATCTTTATCTTGTTTAAGATTTCTTTTGGGGCAAGGTTTGGCATTTCGTGGACATGATGAAAGTGGGGAGTCATATAATAGGGGTAATTTCCTTGAGCTTTTGAAGTGGTTAGGAGAAAAGGTTGAGGAAGTAAGGATACATACTCTTGAAAATGCACCTAAAAATTGTCAAATGACTTCCCCTCCTATTCAAAAGGACATTATTAACTGTTGTGCCAAAGAAACAACTAGGTGCATAATATAAGAAGTTGGTGATGATTACTTTGCTATATTGGCCGATGAGTCAAGTGATGTGTCCCAAAAAGAACAACTAGCTCTTGTTTTGCGTTTTGTTGATAGAGATAGTGGAAAGGTAATGGAGCGATTTTTAGGCATTGTTCATGTTGCTAATACTACCGCTTTAACTCTTAAAGATGCAATCATGTCTTTACTTGTTGAACATTCATTGAGCCCATCTATGATAAGAGGGCAAGGGTATGATGGAGCTAGCAACATGAAGGGTGAAATAAATGGCCTTAAGACTTTGATTATGAATGATACTCCAAGTGCCTACTATATACATTGTTTTGCTCATCAACATCAACTAACATTAGTTGTCGTTGCTAAAAAGAATGATAGTTGTGGTTGGCTTTTCGAGATACTTGGAAATTTGTTGAATGTGGTTGGAGTTTCTTGCAAGAGAAGAGAAATGATTCGTCAAGATCAAGCTCAAGAAGTTGCTCGAGCCTTGGATGTTGGGGATATTGTGAGTGGATCGGGTTTAAATCAAGAACTTGGTTTGAGTAGGCCCGGGGATACTCGTTGGAGTTCTCATTACAAGTCACTTTTAAATGTCATCCTCTTATTTCCTACAATTATTAAGGTGCTTGTACAAATTGGGAAGCATGGTGCATCGGAAGATAAGTTCAAAGCTCAAATTGTTTTAGGACAATTAGAGTCATTTGACTTTATTTTTGTTGCTCACTTGATGTTGACTATTTTTGGATACACTAATGATTTGTGTGTTGCTTTGCAAAGAAAGGAGCAAGATATTGTAAATGCCATGGAACTTGTCACTTATACAAAAACGGTGTTGCAAAAAATGAGGGAGCGAGGATGGGATACTCTCTTAAACAAGGTAACTTCATTTTGCACTAAACATGGTGTTGTTATTCCCACTATGGATTATCTTTATGTTCCTCATGGAAGATCAAGACGTTTTGTTGAAGAAGCAACAAATGAACATCATTTTCGGGTTGGAATTTTCTTAAGACTAATTGATTTGCATCTTCAAGAACTTGATGAACGATTTAATGAGAGGAATATGGAGTTACTATTATGTATGGCTTGTTTAAGTCCTAAAGATAACTTCTCATCCTTTGATAAAGATAAGGTACTTAAACTTGCCTCTTTTTATCCCGAAGAATTTTCAAGCTTTGATTTGATGGCTCTTGAATATCAACTTGATGTATTCATGGAGAATATGCTAAATGATTAAAGATTTCAAGGTTTAAATGACCTTAATTCTCTTTCTATGATGCTTGTTAAAACCAATAAGCATAAGACTTTTCCTCTTATTCATTTGCTTATCAAGTTGATGTTGATTCTTCCCGTTGCCACGGCAAGTGTTGAAAGAGTGTTTTCTGCAATGACATGTGTCAAAAACAAGTTGCGAAATAGCATGGGTGATCAACTTATGAATGATTGTTTGGTCACTTTTATTGAGAAGGATGTCTTCTTACGAGTTTCCGACGAAAAGATTATTGATCGATTTCAAAGTATGAAGACTCGAAGAATGAACTTGTAATTTTAATGTAATGTTTATGTAATTTTTTTCATCATTTTGAATTGTATGACTAAGTATATATTTGTATTTTGAAATTTTAATATTAAGTATTAACCAATTTGTGTGTGAGTTTTTTTTTTGTTTTTATTTTTTGTTAAGCTTTTCGTAAGTTAAGCATTTTGTCCCCCCAAGTTGAAAATCCTGGCTCCGCCACTGACAACAGGTTAATATATATCAAATATGCTAATAATGACCCCCTAATTCTACATATAATTAATCCACAAAAAAACTCATTAAACATTATATAAAAAACCCTACATTCCAATTGAAAAACACGACCTACTATCACAAAACAAAGCACAAATCAAGAACATGAAATCAATTAACTCAATTGAAAACTTTGAGCTAGTACATACCTGAATATTTATGCAATAAAGAAAGGATCTTTATGTGCAAATTCAACCACAACCCACACGTTGTCCATCATATTCAATCGCAACCCAAAATTTTGTAAACTTCAATGGTTGAAAAAAAAAACCCCAATTCTACTCCGATCCACCTTTGTTGTAAATTTCAAAATAAATCTCGAATCCTAGTTCTAAGGTTGAAAAATTGAAAGGTGGAAAATGGTATTCGAATTTCAAATTATGGTGAAGAATGGAGATGGATGGTTTCTGAATATGAGTTAATGGAAGTGATGTTTGTAGTTGGAGAGAGAGGGAGAGTTAATACCTAGGTAATAATTTTATTTATTATTTTTTTTTTTTCAATTCAAAATTTAACCATAGTATAATTACTTATTAATTGTAAAAGTGGTTAATAATTGTCATTAGTGTTGTGATTAATAAAGTTACAGTATTATATAGCTACTTTAGATAATTTAAAAAAAAATTGGCCACCAACAATAATTAGCAAAACTTAATGGCTACCAGTAACAGTATGGCTTTTTGTGCAATTGAGCATTTAAAACATGCACGGTCCACAATTTAAGTCTACACAGCATGCATATACTGATTGAGACATTAAGTGATACAAATTTGAACCTTTGAAGTACACACTATACCAACTAATTAAATTCAGTGGATGTATATTTATTAACTATTACTAAAACAAAACATTGATCTAATGACATCATCTCCTCTCAAAATTGCATATGTGTCGCTTTCTTAAGAAATTTTTTCTCGCATAAAACCAAAGATGATGTCATTATTTTGTGATACTTTTTTTTTTGAAAGGATTTTTTTTTTCCTTTTGTGTGATACTTTGTAAACAAGCTAAGTAAATTCTTTCAACAACTTTAATCTAGAAAATCGAAGTATAGTAAATTGATGAATAGCAACTGTATTCCTTTCTTTTGATTTAAAGATCTATCATTCCCTCTCCTCAATTCCTTAACACTAATATTCAAATGTCTGGAAATTTCCTGAAAAGTCCAAACTGTATTTCTTATAGGAAATCTCCTTCCATTGAATTTATGACAAACTTGAAAAGATTCATTATATATACGAGTTCTATACTATAATTTTTTTATTATAACCGTGTATCGCACGGGGACAATCTAGTTCATCTCTAAATTAAGTTTTTAGTCATTAGCTCAGAATATTTGAGATTGGTCTGAATTCATATGAGAAAGTCCTAATACATCACCGTTATATACAAGTAAAATTGCATAATAGTCTTTTGTACTACTGAAAGTCTTATTAGTACTACTGAGATGTTTTTTTCACTACTGCTCAGAGTGTCTTTTTTACGACTGAAATCATATATAGTACTACTAAGAATGTTCAGTAGTACTCGCAAAATGTCTTTATCCACAAAATTGTCATTGTTATGTATTTGCTTGTGTCTAACTGTGAGGGCCTAGGAAGCGCTCGAATTCATACAGAGTTTCCGATAAACAATTGCATCAACTCCATAAGTATATGATGTATATAAGGAAAAAAATTTCAATATATTCCAGTTATACTTAATTTATGAGTCTATATTGAAGATGGTGCCGAGGATTATAAGTTCTCTAATACGGAAAAATTCCTTTACATTCCAGTTATACTTAATTTATGAGTCTATATTGAAGATGGTGCCGAGGATTATAAGTTCTCTAATAATTGCATGAACTCCATAAGTATATGATGTATATAAGGAAATGACCCGCTTGTATATTATGATAAAAATGTAGCTTTGCCTTGAGAATATTGGAGAGCAAAATAATTAATCTGCTTGAAAGCAACTATAGTTTAACAAAGCTACAAGTTTGAAAAAAAAAATTAAAAAAAAAAAAATTAACACGGATCTTTACATGCAAGCTACAAGGTATTGTAGTCAACTAATGAGAGCATTTGTAGCTTAAACTACTTTAAATATTTAATGTGGCAAGCAAAGACAATACCTTATAGTCGAATAGTCGAGTTGACTTGAATGTGTCGATAAGAATGGGCCTTGTCATATAAGTTGGCGTTTCATTATGAAAGCTACTTGAAACAAGGAAAAATTGTAAGGAATTACTCGCTTAACAGGTCAATTTGTGAACAACTACTCGCTAAAAAAATTTATCAAAAACACTACCCCTCAAATTTAAAAACTTTGGGTAGCTGTAGACATCTAAAAATTTCTCCTCAAAACCAAACCCGATGATGAACAACCTTTAACCACCATTATTGCTCGGGTCGGGTATTTGATCTCGGGAGTGCTTAAAATCCACATTCATTCAAACACATTTTACAAATCAGTCCACAGATCAGTCCAAGTGTTTAGTCAAAGCATTGTCCAACCCTCATTTTAGCCCAAACCCTTTTTAATCCATTTCATTTTATTTATTAATTAAGCCTGATTAATAAATATTAAAACCCAAAACCTGAAATAAATTCGGAACAACTTAAACGGTGCCTAATTATCACGTGCTTAATCTTAAACAAAAAGATAGAAATAAATTTTGACAGAATTCCAGAAAAGAGATTTGTCGTGTCATGGCAGAAATGTCGTGCCATGGTATCTCTGCCGTGTCACGGAAAATGCGCCGTGTCACGAAAATTTCTGCAGCGACGCGGCAATTTTCTAAGGTTTAGTGTTCGCGACACTTCAATTCTAGGGTTTCCGGACCTCACCCCTCTCATTTCCTGTATAAATACGAGGTTGATTTCTCAGTTTCGGGGGATCAAAAATCACTCTCTATTATACTCTAGCGTAAACATTAGCCTTCCATATTCTTTCACAATACATCCCTTAAGCACTCCTCGAAGTCCGTACTTTACTCAAAGCTCTAAACTTAAACCAAGGCGTGAAAGGTAGAAATGTTTGAGGGTTTGGCCCCAAATCAACTCTACTTTAATTTAAATTAATTTTCATTATTTTTTATTAATTTTCCTTGAAGTTACTAATGCGTTTATTATTTTATAGTTGCAAGCAAAAGCAATCAAAGTAAGGAATCATGTTCCTTTTATATTTCACGGTTTTTATTATTTTTTCATATACTAATCGTTATTTTTATGGTTAAATTACTTCCAATGAAGATGTTATTCTTCTTATATTTATTGATCACCATATTGCATGTTTAAAGGGAATATGTAATTAAATATAACGCTTAATAAGATAATTTGGACGATCGGTTTAGGTTCCTTTTTAATCTTATTGTTTAATCAAGTTATCACGATATTTAGGATTATGTGAGTGCATTAAGATTCAACCAATTTAGCTAATTTAGTTTGGAGCAAATTGAATCTTTGTTTGTATGCCTTTGAGATCGCAGGAAATACTTTTCGCAATAAGAATCGAGTAGAGGCCAATACGGGCAAATGTGACTCCCTGACTCACTTCGTACCATCATCCCCGATCCTCCTTTCGTGGTTCTGAACCATATGGAGTTAGTAATCTCATGGATTATGAATGGGGTGTAACCTTCACGGGTCAATCGTTGTTACCTATTGTTGTCCCTTATTCGTGGTTGCCTTTTAATGATTTGTGAACGGTTTACAAGTTCCTTAAAATCTTGTTGGCGGCACCCTACTTTCCTTATCCCTAATCTTATATATCAATTCCCACTTGCTAAGAGAGCCAAGCATATTCACAACATGCTTACGTAGGCGTGCTTTGAATGACGCCTACAATTTGGCGACTCCATTAGGGAGGATTTTTGGTTACTTATCGATTTGAGTGATCTGTATTTAATTAAGCTGAGTGCATGAGACTTGAAAGATTCTTGAATTGTATTCCTGTGATTAATTTGGCATTTTTTCATATGCATTGACATTTTAACGTCGTATTTAGGTCCGCCTCGTAGGAAAAATTGAATAAACTGATCGCGAACGAAAAAACAGAGGCACTGGATTAATTTCCTTACGACCGCGCAACGTCAATTTTGCCATGGCACGACACAGATTACTGTGACACGGTAACTTTTTCTGTGTCGCAGTAGTCTTGAAATTTTTTCAGTGGTTTTGTATTTTTCTCGTTATTAGCATCCTTCGTTTTTTCGAAAAACCGTATGTGTTCTACATACATTTTAGCCCCTTGGATTTAAGCTCTATCAACCCAAAAATGTTCATGACAATAAGGGTTCATCCGAGTTATTAAATTCACCCAAACCATGGAGTCGAGTTCGATTTCATCACGAACTTGCGGAGCCGCCCGTTGGCATACACCCTCAAGGGAGGCTGCCTTGCTAACGCGTCCAAACTCTTAACCATGGTACCCTTTTGACACCAAAAGCTTGACCATAC